TATGCAACCCGAGGCTAAAATGCATGACGTAACTCCGCTCAGAGGGTGGAAACATCCTAGTAACATCACTAACAGGGAACCCCGCATTGATAGCCCGAGCGACCCTGTGGTATTAACGACATTAGAATCCCCAAAAAGTTAACAGTTAGACGATGCAGCACCGGAATTGAAACAGCTGTCAACTGTAAAAGTATGAGATGATAATTGTTTTAGGTAAACCAGAGATCCAATCCCTCAATAAATCGACTTGTGGCTGTTTCATTTGCCTCCCTCGTCCTTGTTTTTCCTCCCTCAGCTTCAGTACCTCTTAAGAAATAAAGTAGTTCTTTCCTTTTTTCAAATCGAAATATGTAACAGTTACCAGAGACATGAATGAAAATCTTTCTTTCCACAAAGCTTCTTCATAATCTTCCGAATCGAACGGATACGCGTGCTCTGAAATTTTTTTCAATTCCAAAGCAGCTTTAAGAAGCAAAACAGCAATGTAACGGCAATGTGTCGAGGAAGAAGATTGTTGAGCAAGGGGTTAGAAAATGTGGTACCACATGCAACTGCTGGAGCTCTTTTTCATAAAAAAGTGCACAGACGTGCCCATATTATTCCACAGTCACACCACCAAGGTTTGGATTTGGCAGCTATTTTATACTTCAGCACCCCGATTAGTACACTCAGCAAACCCAGACTGGAACGCACTGGGCGGGCCCGTGCGACCATACGTTTTATTACATCGGATTTGAAGTACTCAAGTCATTAACTGTATGAATGGTTGTTGATTTACACCTGCCTTTTGCGTTCACTAACATAAATCATCATAAATTTTGCACAGAGTGAATGTACAATTTCCATTTAAAAGTAACCTAGCTATTCAGCGAAAAATTTTCTCTCCAAATCTTTCACGTGCTCGTACTTAAGGAACACGCATACCTGAGGATTAAATTTGAAATATTTAAGTTGTACTTGGGCAGGGGACATTCCCCCAAATTTTCAGTTTTCTAGCTTCTTTGGTTCCAAGTTAGCAATTTTCCCTCCAAAACTTTCACACGCCTTTACATGAGTACCACGCATACCTGGAGGCTGAATTTGAAATCTTTAGCTAACACATGCACAGGGATCATGAGATCGCTTTCCCGTCAAAAAAATTGCAAATTTTTTTAAAGCTTTTGTACGCGGCACCCAGGCGCCCACGGGAGATGATATTAAGACGGGACGGTCGCGCATAACATGGGCACATACCCTCAATGTTTCAGCCTTCTAGCTTTTCTGGTTCTCGAATTGAAAGTGGATGACAAAAAGTGCAAACGCACAGACACACACGCACAGACACACACGCACACACACATACATACATACAAAGCCTCTTCCCAATATACGTTTTTGCAATTTGCGTACATGCAAAAACGCATATGAAGGGGAGGACATACATCGAGCAAGTGGCGAATACCAAATGAAGATATATAACACAGGATCGAAGGGCTTGGAACAGCTGCGCTCGACGTGTTTTTAACATCATTAACATGAAATATCCATACTAACTGTTAGAATGGTTATCATGTCTTGGCAAAAATAAATCTTCGACCTCAAAGATAACAAACCTGTAACTTTAACATACCATTCTTTGAATTCACCAGAAAAAGAGACATGCCTGTAGGAGTCCATGTAGATCGTGACGTTATGGCCTAAAGCATGAGCTACTTGTGCAAGGTCTAAACGAGTTAATAGTCTGAAGAAAAAAAAAACTTCATGCTCAAATGCGTAATCAATTTGATTCTTTCAGACAGTGCAAGGAGCGTTCGTCTTTTGCGTAATTGGTACAATAATAATGATGACTATAATAATGTAATAGCAGTAAAAATAATAATTATAAAAACAATAATAAAAGTGATAATCGAAGTGACAAAAATAATAGTGATATTCGAGACACTGAATAACATTATTAATAACAATAAATAGTAACAATAATAATAGTAACAAGCGTAATCATAAAAATATTAAAAAGTAATAGCAGTTGGTAATAATGAAGACAACAATAATAATATACCAATCACAATAGCAGCAACAATAAAAATGGTAATAAAAACAACAACGACAATAAGAGCGACGACAGAAACAGCAACAATAAGAAGCGGGCATCAGTGAGTATTACAACAATTATTATTGGATATTAAAATCAAGTACCTTGCTTGACGAGCTGTTTGAGGAATGGAACAAAAGAACCGGCATGACTTTTTCCATCCGGCATTACGGCCATCAATAAGTCGGCTCCACTCGCTTGAGCAGCTATCACTGCTACAGTTAAAGTTACGGCCAACAAGGTTCTGGATCCTCTACGATGACCAGTAATGTCATCCATAGTAAAATGTTGAAATACCAACACCTAGCAATCCATTCGATTCACTAGGAAAATTACCATCAGGTGATGCAGCACTGGTCAAAGCAATTGAAGAATTTGTCAGCTGTGTAATTAGTGAGCAACGATGTGAAACACAGCTGACCAACAGCTCAATCTTATAAATGACCATTTTCACGCCGGACACAGCTACGCCAGCAGAACCTTCTGTCCTGATAGGCGTCTTTTCTTATCAGTTCAGTTGAAAGGAATCCGAATTTCTGTTCTTTTCAAGAGCGTACCACTTGTTTTGTCGAAAAAACAGCACTTGTCTTTTTCGAGAGTACCATTCACTCAGCGATTTTTTACTACTAACATAGTGCTTTACAAGACAGGCGATGAGTGCTTGTTAATGAAAGATATGCAGCTCATGATCGATGGACCTGGCATTGTTGCGCCCGGCTTTTCCAGGGGCATCTCAGTTACATCACTAATATTAAGATCTCCGCAGTAACTGTTCGAGCAGCCTCTTTGTTTTTGGTATTATGATGTATTGATATCGTCTGCTATAAAAATTATACCTTCTTAAAGTTAAGTACTGCAAGGCAACGGTTAAAAACAAGGAAAAGTTTGCAGAGTTGACTTTTGGTCGATAGGAAGTTGTCTCTACAAATTATCTCTTATCAGTTCTTTCGAATCGGCGCTTCCTTTCAAGCTATCACTCAATAAAATATTCAGAAACAGTTCTACACTCCCACTTTTACGAGCGATGAAGATAACGTCGAAAACTTCCACATCTTGATATGTTGCATTTTTATAAAAATCGAGACTATTTTATATATACTAAGTGCAATTTTTAAAATTAGTGTTACAAAAAATTTGTTTCAAGTTTTCTATTAATT